TTACGTCCCAAGCTACGAGTGGTGGCCGCCGCTCATCGGTCCTGGGATAGGCCAGGGCTACCCAGCCGAGTACACGCAATACCAGACCGGCCACGTCGTCTCGCCGTACACCGGCCTGCCCAACTCGGTCATCAGCTTTGACGCCGAGCAGCTTCCACCAGACTTCATGCTGCAGCAGGCCGACCCCAATTTACAACAGTCCAACATGTCTCCTTACCCGCCGCGCAGCGACCCGCGCCACCCACATGATCCACGGTAATACTCACGTCACTCTCTTGCAGTGTGATTTTGATACTCTTCGGGCCAGGGCTTCACTGCCTTCGCAGGATATCTTCGCTTTCTGAATGTTGTAATAGGATTCTTGAGTTTCATTTTAGGTAGTCTCTCTTCGGTATCCTCGTTGACCTCTTCTTGCTTTTGTACCATCAAGGACGCGCACACGTAGGGAAACTGAATATAATAACAGTACCAGTCCTCCAAGCTAAGAGTGGTTATGATCTACAGAGATGGGTCATAAGATGCGTGATGATGGGATCGTTATAGCCGTCGAGCTCTACGCTTGGCCCTATACCGCGGGCCCATGTACATGATAACAAATATTAAGGGGCTGACGAGGGCGCACAAGCCTGCAAGCAGGACGTATGTCCACCCGACCCCAATCGCCTTAATGATCAAGTCGATGACGGATACGCATGCGGCTCCGAACGAGCAGCGCACGAGGTTGTTCTGCGAGACCATCAGTAAAGTGTTGTGGTGCAGATACTACGCGCAGACGTACGCATGCTGTCACAGAGGACCCCTGGTTAGGTAGCAAGTCAACTAACAGCGTCTGAGTCGTGTTCATCACCGACATAACCGCATATCCGACTATGGGCATTTCATGAACATCTACGCAAGAGCTGTCGTAGGGCAAAAGCGACTTACTGACGATCTGCAGGATCAGCGGTCCTGCAAGATTGACCTTGCCCTGCAGGCACCACCCGTAGCCCGCGCAGCAACCGACATACACCGCACAATACGCAGGCATCGTCCGGAACCGCGCGTACTCGATCGGGAAGTGTTCGTCTTTGGTCACGTCCTCGGGCCTGACCTTGCTGTCGGGGTCTTCCCGCGCCCTGCGCTCGAGCGTGCGCTTCACGCGCTGGTACTCGCGGTCGAGCACCGTGCCGCTGATCCAGCTGCCGAAGAGCATGCCGCCGCCGATCGCGAGGAAGCACAGGCCGATGTCCGTCTCGGACAGGAACGGGTACGCCTCGCTGAAGAGCGTCGAGATCGAGGCGGTCACGCCGTAGAAGACGGCGTAGAGCACCGCGTTGAAGAAAAGCAGGATCGAGACGTCGGGATACAGGAAGAGCCGGAGCGGGTTCTGGAAGGGACGCTTGGGCGGGCGGTCCGTGCTGTTCTGGCCTGACCTGCCGCGGCCGATAATGGGAAGTAGAGGACGCCAGAAGGGGGGTGGCTTGATACTGCCATCGCCCACTAGAGAACGTAGAGTCTCGGGAAGGATACTAGGCTCCGGTGTTAGCAGTCGTCTGGAGCAGGTGTGGAGGACACGCACAGAAGCATGGCTACGAAACACAGAGCTGAGCCTATGCATAAAAACCAGAAGATAGACCTGCGGAGAGGGCTCTGCTAAGTATATGCGCCACACCAAAGGTGGCGTGACGCACCTCCAACCCAGTCCCTGTGACAAAGCACCACCGATGACAGGTCCTAAGCATGGTCCGACCTAAGTGCACGCTATAGTCAGGAAATGGAGATCAAAATGTATAGAAGGATGTCACCATAGGGCCCAGGCTATAGAGCCCGAAGAAGCCGCCGCGTTCATGGCGCTCGGCTATGTCTGCGATAACTCCTGCCCCGAGAGCAATCGTACTCGCGGAGCCAGCCGCTTGCAGACACCGAAGGACCATGAGCAGCCAATAAGCATTTGTCGGAACACGGGCCAGGCCGACACATGCGAGTGCCAGGACGAGCATGCAGGCCATGAACATGGGACGTCTTCCCCAGCGGTCGGCTAGTGTTCCCCAGAACATGGGTGCTAGAAGCGGGTATAAGGATTAGGACTAGTAGGATGAAATAATGCACATACATATGCCTTGGAGCACCATGTACATGGTGATCGTCAAGTTGATAAGCTCGATAGATTTATGGAAGACATTGGCCAGCGTGGGGATGGCGGGGAAGTAGATGTTGGCAGTGAGAGGACTGTAAAAGATTTGTATACTCATCGCCATCGAGTTACAGGCTACGCACCTGAATATGCCTGCTATCGACGCGATGACCACAATGGCCCACTTCTCCCGTGTGGTGTAGACACTGTACGGTTTGCCCTGAGCAGCAGGTGGTTGGCGCTGCTGCTGTTGCTCCGCCTTCTCGTTGATCACAGGCTCTGGGTCAGAGCGTCAGAGAAATCCACCGCGCAAGAGCGTACTGCGTACCATTGCTTTGATCTGCAGCCTGCAATGTCTGGATGTCACTCCCGTCTCTGTCAGGGTGTGTGGAGCGCAGCTCTGGTTGGGCGGTCTGTTGCTTGACCTCGTCGTCGTCGACGTTATTATTCGTCCGGGGCATGTACGTTGTCGTCAGGAAGGGAGCGGGCCCTTGGAAGTCAGAAGGGCTGTGGGGTAAATGCTGGCTTCATAAAGGCGGAAAGATGCTTAGTTCCAACACATGGTCCTCTACACGAAGATGCCTCTGTGATAATGTTTTACCTTTTTGGGTGGCTCAATGGCGCGGTCGCGCCGACATGTCATGCATTCATGGTTTTCACGCTGCTTTCACGGCATTTCAAAGCGCCAGCATCATTTCTTCGGCCGACACTCCATATCACTCCGCGGACGGTTCGCCCGACATGATGGCTTTACACATACGGAAGGTATGAAGGAAGGACGTCGTTCACAGAGGTCAGCTTGAACCCGTTATTTCCTAGAATGTCTCTGAAGGAGCAGGCGTCCTGGTATGTTGCTGGATTTACGATGTTGTCTTCCTTCAGCTGCTGGACCTGTGCGAGTCCGATAAATGAACACGAAATCCAGAGCCGAGATCAGCTTTTGCTTTACCTGTGCTCGAGTGATGGTGAGCAGGTTAGGAGGAAGCTTCTCGAACACGAGTCCTTGCAGAGTGCCAACCGCGTATGGAACCGAGATGATCGGTCTCTTTTTGTTCGTATGCTTCAGAACCAGCTCTATAATCTCACGATACGTAAAAACTAGAGAGAGATGTTGAGCGATTAGATAACAAGCCTCATGCCCTCACCTTCCGGACCACCAGCCTCGATGGTCTTTCCATCGCATGCTTCATTGGTTTCAATTTCCCTCCTGCTCAGGATCTCGATAGCGCGAGCTACATCGTCGACGAATACGGGCTGAAACCTGGCAGTACCGCCACCAAAGACTGGCATAACGGGCAAGATTTTCGCCAGCTGTGCAAAGCGCTGCGAAGCACCGTATTAACTTACACCGACGGCCCAGACAAAACCTTGGATGAGTAGTGTACGCACAGTAAAAAAGCCGTCTCCCTTCCCAAATAAGATGCTCGGCCGTATAATTGTTGCGTCCGGGCACGCATCCAGGATCGCGTCTTCTCCGAGGGCCTTCGTTCGGGCGTACGGCACAGGACTGTTGCAATTTGCGCCGATGGCGCTGATGTGGATGACTTTCGCGTGAGCTTTCCCTGCCGCTTTCGCTACATTTCTGCGCCCTCCACTGTACGCGCT